TGGGTGCACCCCTATGATGCATGCCGGCTGACGAGGAGATGAACAATTGCGGGGGAGGGGTCAGATATGAAGTTGTGGCTTCGAATGATTCAGAAAGAAACTATGACCATTATGTTGGAACTTGGAGAACGGGCAATCATGGCGAGAAAGTGTCCCAAGCTCGTTGGGGAGATTTCGAGTAATGCCCCCGGGGTCTTCAGCAACATGTGTTTCGTGCATTGCGGCACCACGTTACGCAACTCGGCACCGTTCAACGGATTAAGGGATTAGGCACGGAATTTCGGGGTTGACCCACAAAATCATGAAATCGGCACGAACTACAAGTGAAAAAGAAATAGCAGGTGGAAAAAAACCTGAAACCTTTATTGCAACAGCTTCAAGGCCAATGGTTTACGACAGGAAACTGAAGGCGAAGAAAAGGAGTCTGCAATTCATTTGGATGCCATTGACCAATAAAAGAGCCTCATTTCTCTTTGTCTGAATCGTTTTAAGTCATGACCAAGATTCACTCCTAGGTTCCGGAGATGAATTGTTTCACCAAATGCGAAGCGGCAGCTCGGCCTGGTATGATTCCTCCAGCGCGTTTCAATCGGAGGAATGGGAAGGGCCCGTACCTCAGAAAAGAGGGAAATTATGTAAGTCAATTTTGAGGGCTGTTTCGTTTCCCGTCCTTTCCAAACCGTGCAAAGATCCCCTAAAATTCAGCTTCACCCCTCAGATAGGCCACGAAAGGTTACCGAAATAAATTTCAAGTTTGGTTGTGCTAATTTGTGGTTTGAGAAAAACCGGGTCAAAACACCTTATTGATTGATGGCGAGATTTCAGTTGTTCAAGTGGACGAAGCCAACATTTGACAAGATTTACTACTCCGTATTGATTAAACTTGCACGATGTTTACAATTGCCATAATTATGTGGGACAAAGTATTTGAGGAGGGCAATTTGTTAGCAATACGAAATGGTCAGCTATCTTTAATTGCAGCCACAGGCCCAGTTAAACGCCAGAAAAACCCCACGATTTAATAAATCGTCCCTTAACTTCGTATGGACTCAATTTAAAGATTATTAAAAATGCACATCATTTCATTCTACACGGCAGAGCAGCAGTCAACGTAATAAACTGGAGAGAATTTCGCACCATCTTGCAATGCGCGACTCTGACCTTAACCCAAACCTCACACTTCCATTCCAGGAATCTAGAGGGGAAACAGTTATGAAGACAAAGATGAAATCTCTCTGGCGCGGAAGTTTGAGATTAATTGGTCAAGATCTTGAGATCTCACACCTGTGGAACCACGATTGCTTTTCGGAAATTTATGAACCAGTTCTTGTCAAGTGTAAGACGCAGTCGGCTGAAAATAAAACGGCCTGGGAATGGGGTCGTCGGAAGATGGGAAGAAAGTAGGCCTAATATTCACATTCTTTTAATGTTTCCCCTCAAATACAAACAAGTGAAAATCAGTTGTGTCTGAGGTCAAATATTTGGGATTAGAGCAAATGCTGACGTTTTTGTTCGTTTCACTTCATGAGAGATGACGAGAGGTCAACTCAGTATTTGCCACAAATTCTAAGATCGGCGAATGAACGGGCGACCTCATAGAACACCAATGCTGGCAAGTTAGCCCTATCACGATGTCTCACGTGTACACTTTATAACGAAAAAAGCGAACACATTTTTGAGCAACGCCATTCTACTAGACAACTGTAAACAAAACAATCTTATTTGCCAGTTAAATTAGGTTCATACATTCTCCAATTACTACGAATCCCCCGATCTATTCCTAATGAAAATTCTTGCTGGCATCGGGAGAAATGATCTGCCCCGTTTCACTGTTTGTAAAAATAACTCAAGAATGAAACAAAAATAATTAGATGGGGTACGAATTGGAGGTCGAATCACACAGAATCAAGCCAAAAGATTGGGATTTAGTGGGAGATAGTTTGGTAGTAATTCTGTGAAGGAAAATATGTGTATGACTACAAATTCTTCCAGGCTGACGCAGAATTATGACGATTTCATTGCCAATTATTTCAACACTGAGACCGAATAAGCAGCGACCCAGAGTTATGCCAACTTCACCACAAATTTAATAAGAACAAACGCCGAATGTGAGATCAAAACCAAGACTGGAAATTGGTCCCAGAATGACACTTCGAACATGTCCCAAATTGTCAGGGTGCTTTCCGATCTTCGACGATCTTTCACCGACCTACCACCCCGAGGCAGCCAAGAACCACTTTCCGATTTACCCCAGAATTACTATTAACTGTGACCCGGCTTACAAATCGAGAAAGTGTGAACCTAGCTTTAGCTAAGAGTAACACTGGACCAATAACAACGAGAGATTCTGTCCATGGGTGTAAGCAACAATTTGATCAAAGTTTGCTTATGGTAACCTGCCGAGCAACAATACTGCTTATTATTTAGAGAACCTCAGCCTAATTGCATCTATGGGCATAAGTTTCGTCTGAAAGTAATGCGTAAAAGCAACATAAGCAGAATATTTATACTAAGAATTTATTTACAATAAAGTACATAATTTAAGGCATACTGAAAAAACATCAAACAGTAACCTGTAAAATGTGTCCAAAGTGAGACACATCTCTTATTTACATAAATCGGGTGTGAAGTGAATTAGAACGAGCTCACAGGTAAAAGAACTTAGGCAGTCCGTCGTGGTGAAGTGTCAGTAGCCTATATGCCTATACACAGTAGTTCATCACCCTAATGCTTCATATTAGGACAGTTAGAAATCGACTGCAAGTGGCCACAACCCATACGCGTTCACGGGTTTCTGATTTAAGTCATATGTCCATCTTTAGACGACGGCTTACGGGTTCAGAGCTTCCTCCTCCCCCATCGTCTCAGCAGCCGTTGCCTGGTCCCGCTTGCAGGTCCCGACTGGCTGTCCTACCCGCGTGCCAACCGGCCTGACGTGGTGGTCGCGCTGATCCTTCGGTCCCGCGGTGTCCTTCTTTTGCTTCATGCGACGGTTCTGGAACCAGGTTTTCACCTGGTGGAATGAAGAAATTGATGAATCCTTTAAAGTATAATTCAATCAGGACCACAACTAACGACACAGATAATATCCGGGAGATACCAAGCTGAAATTTGCACGTCCTAGTCGACCAAAAATAAATCGGAAGACTTAAGAACTTACAGTTCGTAATCACTGGAAAATATGAGTATTCTAGCACATCTCTCTTTTCTCTATGTTGACAAATTTGTCAGTTTATCTACGCTTTATGTGTTCTGAGCAGACAGAGCGAAAATGATTTTTCCTGCGGGGTATCGAGGTGAAAAACCTTTGATATGGAGTTGAACAGGTTGAGCGAATTACATCACGGATAACATTCAGTCATTAGGGAACTGTGAGTTTCAAACGTGCAGATGATGGAGGAATTCGCCAAGATTCGCTAATGGTGCTACGTATGCTTAAACCACTAAAACCAGTCGGCGGAGGTTTGTCAGTAGTGACAATTTTGTAAGAAATCGAGCCTGAGACATACGTCCTATTCATTCAGAATTCATCATGTTTGGTTGCAACGTGAGTTGGGATGGTGCTCAACCCGAGACCGACGTCTGAAACAGCAAGACCGTGAAGTAAAAGACCTCTGGCCGGGGCAGACGAGATAACGGGCCCGTGTTTGGCTTGATTGTAACGGGTCAGTAGTTCATTAGCGCCTCGTTGCCAAGGAGCCAGACACTGTAATTGCAAAGTTATAGCGTGTGGCCCGGTCTGGTCTTCAGAAAAGAAAGATAACCGATATGATATCCCTCTCTTCATCCAAAAACTTATTTATAATGTGAACTACATGTATTTCAGTTCAGATATTGAACTTTAAAGTTAAGTTGATTGAACTGCGCTTGTGTCAATTTGAGTGAGGAATTGAATGAATACGATGCTTCGAACATTAGAGTTCTCAGGCTCTGCTTTGCAAACTGAATTCCAACTTAACAGGGAAAAAAAACATTTAAAATTTATTTCATTTCTTAAGCGCCATTTCTATTAAAAATTTTCAATAGCGCTTTACATATCAAAATAATAAAAATAATGATTACATATTCATAACAGTTATATAAAAACTACAATTCAAATTATAATTACAAGTTACAATAGTGGGCGGACATTTTTATGTGGGTTTAAAACTAGATCAATCAGAATGATTAGCAGCATTATGGGCAACAATTATCGACAAGAAAAGAAGCAAATCACAAACGAAACAAAAAAATAATACACGCCAATTAACGAATTTCACAAACGCGCATTTTCCACTGCACAGCAAAGTCATTCCGCACCATCCACTTGCTTCTGTTCACGTTGCATACCTGTGTTTCCGTCAGTCCCAGGCCCACGGCCAGCTCGATTCTCTCCGGCGTGGATAGGTACTTCTGCGCCTGGAATCGCGCCTCCAGCCCCCGCAGCTGGGAGTCGACGAAGACGGTGCGCGCCTTGCGTCTCCTGCTGCGGAGCGTACCGCTGGTTGTCTCTGACGGGAAGAGGGACGGGATACAGTAGCCAGCTGTAAAGTGTGACAGTGGAAAGTTATGCAGGGTTTCAATGTTGGTTTCGGTAATGGGTCAAAATTATTTGAAGTGCTCTAGTTGATGTGACATTGTAGGGAAATCAGACTAACGGAGAGCTCACAGTCACATAGAGTTCTTTAAGGAGTTCAAGATTAAAGCCAATGACAGTCACAGCATGTGCAACTTAATTGACAAGACTGTGAAGCCTATATCGTTACTATTATCTCCTGTCTGAATCTAATTTCACTGAAGTGAAGTAGGTTTTTTGTCATTTCAATAGCAAAAATTCTTAACTTACCTTAAAAAATCAGGCAATTAAACGAAAGCTTGAGAGAAGCAGGGACAATCTATTTGAAAACCATTCTTCAGTGCAATATAGGGGCCTATACATACACAGCGCAAAACCTATGGTGTAAAATTAACACCAATTTAACGGCACAATTTTGCAATGTAAACCGCCACTAAGATGCCGTTACAATAACAAGAAAATCATCAATTTGAGCAGAATGGCATATTTGACAAATGACGTTTGCCTTTTATGAACATCACAACATGAACGTTGCCCGGTTAGCCTCGTTGCCTTACACAATCACATTATGCACTTGAGTCGTCCATAAACACGTCAAATTTGAAGTCCATTAAAGCATTTTATTTCTCCTCGCAAAAAGGCTTCGTCAGTAGAAGTCACCCATTGGTAAGCACAATAAACAAACTAACCAATGACACAATATGTGTATAGTCTTGAAGTCCGCAGTCTACATGACAAAAAATCGCACGCACTCTCTCGTCTCAAGCGGGGCCACCCTCTTTGACAGCCAATAACCCGGCACTCTTGACTGGAGCAGGGGTCGACACGGATCGCATGGGTCGACTTGTGACAACCGCCAAGGCGGTCTCCCGCGTGCCACACGCCTCCTCGAATTCTGGACCTGGAAACTTTCCCAAATCGCTCACTTTTTGTGTTTTCCCAGACAAATGTTGCGACCACTCAGATTTGTAACAATAAACACAAGCCCAAAGTGGTTTCCCAATTTTCTTCAGTTTCAACCGAAGACTCATCCTATGGGACATTCTATTTTAGTCAATAAACCATGCATTTAGGGCCCAAACAGCACGCCCAAATCAAGCGTTGTGTGGGCTGCAGTTTTAGGCAAAATTCACCATAAACAAAACACTTGGTTTATTTTCTTTGATTCTTTCGTTCGAAAATCAAAGTTTGTTTTTTCTCAAGGTCCACATCAATACTTGCTGAGGTATTAAAACACAGAAGTATTCATACAGCGGGCGCAGATTTCTATTCAATAATTTCTGACGAAAACAAATTTCTTGCAACCTCCCAATTGAACATCGCAGGTGGGCTGATTCTGGGCTTTTTTCAAACATGAATGCACGGCAGACTTCGTAGAAAAAAACATTACGTTTTGGATGCCATATGTTTTAACAACAACTCAAATGACGAAGCACTGTGGCCCGACATATCCTCTCTTCACTTAGTTAAAGAGATCCCGAATGATCCTTGCCGACCTAAATGCATTATCGTCAGGTATGTAGGTATTGGGGTTTAACATAACATTGAAATATTTGTCACGTGGCTTGTTGTCTAACCTTTTCCCAGTAATCACCAAAATACTATTCAAAGCACAAGATTTATTATTTCGAGAATAGGAAGTACTTTTTCTGGTTGAAAACTCACCTGGCAAATTAATGTGGCGTTTAGTCCCTAAAAATTTGAAATTCTAATATGAAATTTAAAATTCTAATATGAAATTTGAAATTCTAATATGAAATTTGAAATTCTAATATGAAATTTAAAATTCTAATATGAAATTTGAAATTCTAATATGAAATTTGAAATTCTAATATGAAATTTGAAATTCTAAAATGATTTTTTTAGGGGGGAGTCCAAATAAGACAATCAAGACGTTCTCTATGAATAAATGGTATACCGGTTATACCCATCATATAAGCCACGTCACCTATATATCGTGTGCCCATCTAGGAGTTGCGCGGTCTTGCAGCCAAACCTTCAAGTTTATTTTAGATATGATTGTGTCTCCATCTTTATCTAATCAACATGATGTGATCATTCGCACATTGGAGTGGTGACACTGAAATGTTGAATAAACGCAACTAAGTTATCGACGACGACGTAGTTTGTCCATCCGTTTTGCCCCCAGACTGCCGTCTTAAGGGGGCAATTGCAAGTCTGAAGGGGCATATAATCTCCGAACCAATGCTTGCGACAAGGCGATAACATAAGAACCGAATTTTAAAGGCACACAATTGAATAAATGTCATAATTTATTTTTGATGAAATTTGTTCAGTAATTTATGATTGAAAAGCTCCTACATTGTGTCCCTGAGGTCACGACAGATTTAAAAAATGTACCATTCACTCTCTGTGTTAAAGCCAATTCGGAAATGTAAAATCAAAGGTCGAGATTAGAAGAAATTGAAACATCCATAACCAGCAAAGGGGAGGGTCCCATGGCAACTTACAGTCCGTTGTGTAAATTTTCTTTGCCTAAAGGTACCCCGTACAAAAATCTGTTTCTTCTGTCCTAGGCTACGTATATCAGCTTTAATACCTAAAATTTACCTAATGGTAAATTAAGCAATTTCCAGGCTTTAAAGAGATTGTTTGAGATATCCTAAAGTCAGGGAAAATCCTGACAAAACAATCCCCATTAAATCAGGAAAGCTTCTAACAAATATCACCCATGAAGATCAGAGGTTTCTGGAGAAATAAGTGGGAATTATAATTTGTATGTGTGGTTCTGAAAAGAACCGGTAGGCCTACTCTCAGAGATAACATCCGATAATTCAGATGAAGAAAAGAGCTGAAGAAAACCCGTTAATCCTTACTTACCAGAGGTACGGATAAGGAACGGCCATTGGTCCGTGTCTCCGTCGGCTCCAAGCCTGCGCTCCCGGCAGACACACAGGGCGGCCGTGCAGGTGGCGAACCCCAAACATTTCGGCACGGACGGCACGGCGGTGAACGAAATACAAGTCTCGGATCGGGACACTTTCTCCCTGTTCTGGCTTGCGAATTCCCCGCACTCTGTGGCACACTGCAGAGCCGCGTTTGCGGGGGATTTCGCCGGTTTACCCGACGGTGGCTGGGCCGACGACGGGCCCGGTGTTCGGCGGTTGAGAATGTCCTCGATGGAGAAAGGAGTTGCACCGTGCGTTGGCTGCAGCGGCGCTGGGGCCGTGAACGATTTCCCGGCGTGGGGTCCCGCTGCAAAGTACGGGAATTCGGGGCGTCCCGCAGCGTGAAGGAACTCCATGGTTTTCGCAGCTTTTCGCAAACTTGCAGACGCTTCTTGTCTACAGTGGTCGAAATTCCCGAAATTTTAAATTTTCAAAAACAGAGATTGAACTTGACAAAACGATTTCCGAATTGTCTACACAAGTCGTTCATTGCAAGCTTGATCACCTGTCTTACACCTCTCCAGCTATCGGCAAAGTTACTTTCCAAGCCTCAAGTGTCAAGAAAACGGTGACTTAAGCGATCTGACGCCGACTGCCTTTTAAACTCTCGAGCCTGTCTACTTCGAGGTACAGCGATGGAGAAACCATCGTCTCCCCTTTGACGCGGCGGTGCGCTAGTCTTGACCCCAACAACACCGTTTGAACTATCAACTTGTGTGGTTGACAGTGACAAACTCTCCAAAGAATAAAAGAAAACTTGTCGACGATAACTTTAAAAGGGAATTGAAGGTCACGCCGTAAACGTGGGTAGTCTTAGCGCTGTTTAGAAATTAGCTCACTTGCGGTATCATCTCGTTACTTCAAAGACGCCAACTTCGACCCGGCCATGTCACTCCGATTTCTGGAATGTTTGAGTCGAACTTGGTGACTAGATCGAGGAGCTAACGTAGCCATAATACAAACACGACCTCGGTGTGCTCTGAATCAAATAGTTCCAGCGACTTGATTTCGTTAAAAAAGCAGACGACCTGAACTCTCAAGGACAGACAGACCTTGCGCCGCATAAAGGCATTCGGTATCCATCCGCCCAAGGTAAACACGGCAAGAGATTGACTACTGACTGCTTGTCCAGCTTTAACAAAAACGTGCTTCCGCCCAAATAATGTAGCCCCATTAATTTTCCACAATAAATCGGCCACGCACCCTCAAACTATTCCATGCTCAGGTATAGTCTCGGTGAAGTTGGTTTGAAAGTAATGACTGGGCGCCCGCCGTCCACCCTCCCCCCCCATTTTTAAGGAGTATCTCACTCGCACGGGACGTCAGGGAAACATGCAATTGGTCGGCCACTGACGTGTCAGACGTGACCTCATCTATGCAAAAAGCCGACTGTTTTGTCAGACTGTGTGTGAATGAAGTCGGCTGGTTGTGAGTGCAACGGGATCGCAGCTGCCTTTCGAGTCAATTAAGGTGTCTTTTGTTTACAAGACAATCACAGCGTCTGAAGATAGTTTAGTGTCGTGAATGTGCTGTCTGTATATTTCGGCAGAAAACAACTTCAACTCAGACACGATGTCTAAATAGTTTTGGCTTTATTTGAAAACCGACATTTTTATTAAATAATCGAGTAATTCCAAATAGAAATAATATAGCGATTTCATATACAACAGAACTGTCTGATCATATACATATTATTTACCTAAGAGGCTTGTGCGGGTTATTTACTACCCCGTATAGCTTTGGATCGGGCCATTTTCTCGAAGGTGTAATGTATTTGGCACTGAAGACACTTGCTTTACAAGATCAAGCTACCGACTGCAACTTCTCAAGGAGGAGACTAGCACTGCAGCCTGTGGTTGCACGATCGAAATTGAAATGCCCTCATTTTGAAAGCCAAATTTCATTAAGTTCTCCCTATTTCCCCTTTTTAGCCACAAAAAAGCCTGATCTGCCACTTTTCTTGTTTAGACATCAGTACGTACAAGCTCGAAATGTCTGGTGTCTTTTGAAGGAATCAAGTAACATGTACATGTACGCGGAGCAAGCGCTGCTGACACACCAAACCGCTTATCAGGGGTAGCAAATTTCATGATACGTACATTAGTCTTGATTCAAGTCATTCCACAACCGAGAGACGGGGTGTTCATTCAGACAAACTAATTCGGAGAATATCGTAGACTTTGGCTTGTTTGAATAACGTCCTTCAAATGTCTTTCGACTTTGGGAATGGGCTCAAAATGTCCATAGAAATTCCTTCCAAAATAAGAAAGGGAAAACAATCAGTAAAATCAATAAACGAGGGAAGTGGAAGCACTGAATGCAATGCAGATATGCAAAAACAGTCGATCCTCGTTAATAAGAAGTCCAAGACATTGCAGATCACTTGTTATAAATAACAGGAACCTTGTATTATCAGGAATGAAAACAATGAAGGTCAAAGGATTCAGTTCCAAAAATCTCCTTGTTATTGAAGTATGTTGTATCAACACTAACCTTGTTCTTATTAATGAAGTTTGACGTACCAGCTAAGAGGTCATTCAGTACATCATGTCTGTGTTTGTGGGTTCTCATGTTGATTCTGGGGTTAAGAATATTTTTTGAGAGTTATTAATACTCTGTTTTCCTGTTTTCTTTGGGGGGGGTGGGGTGGCAATATATTTCCATGTCACCTTCCCCTGCATCCAACTTCCCTTGACACCAGATGGAACTCTAATTCGAGAAGTAAATTTCGCCATGCCAGCTACAGACAGATTACCCTCCAGTCACTTTGGAAGGGGCAATTATGTGGATGGAGAATAACACGTCCTGCCTCTGAGTTCATGAAATTACGTGAATATCAGTCTCTCCTTGATTGACAGGGTTTTTATCTGTCGGCCGACTGTTCTTCCTCGAATCTTTCCTGCCTCACTGCCTACATGTCTTTGCTGTTACACTGTGGACTGCTTGTGTCATTACCCTGTGTCTAAGAAAGTACTCTTCTCAGTGCTAAACATTATGGTAAGTGCCAGTACATCGTGTCCTCACTGCCTAAATCATGTCCTCACTGCCGACAAAATGCTGTTCCTGTTGCCTCTCCTCGTCACATCCAGCCACCTGCGCCACTATCCCAAACTTTGGCAAGTGTCATTGACACTGTGTTGCATTTATGTTGCCTGCCTGCATCATGTTCTCAATGCATGCTTCATGTCCTCGGTGCATCCATCATGTCCTCACTGTCTCAATCATGCCCGCACTGCCTGCAGCATGTCCTCACTCACCACATAATGTCCTCAGTCACTACATCACGTCCTCATAGCCAGAGTCACGTCCCCGCACTCTGCATCTCGATAAGCCTATCCAGAGTCTGCAGCTGGTTCTCGTACTGCGCCCGGCGGCGCCTCAGCAGCTGCAGCAGCTCATCCTCTGCAAACTCCTCACGGTCCGATGACGACGCCGAGGATGTGACCTCTTCTCTGTCAGGACGACCTGGGCGGAAGACAGCAAGGATGAGAGAGGTTTAATAGTAGACAAGATTCAGGAAGTCACGAGCGGTGATCGCATTCAAAACGGTCAAGGTGAAGTGATACTAATCAAGTTACGCCCACCAGACTGTGACATCTGTTAAAAAGGGCTGCCCTTTCTGAGGACAGGGTCAAGCTTGTGTGGCAGAAGAGTCTTAGGGTTGAAGTTTGGGCCATAAAGGGTATAATAGCAATCCACAAAACATCCAATCTGGAATTCTTTGCTTGGGGGTAGCCAAGAAGCATGAGTTCTCCACACAAACTGGCTACATTGATGGCAATCTGGGACTTTTTTCATACTAGGTGGAAACAGGGGAGAAAACTAATTGATCAAACCCAAAATCCCACAGACTGGGGTCGGAATCCCTGAAACCTGAGGAAAAAATCCTGAAAAAAAACCACAACCCCCGCAGCTGACAACCAGTAACTGGCACTGCATATCATTCACGTACAGGGTTTTAGGTTGCCAACCGCAGAACCAAAGGCTGACAACAAACAATGTATACCATACACTGACAAGTGACCTGCTTTGCTGTTAGCAAAAATTCTACCTTTGTGCCTTATATTTCCTCCCTTCACGGTGCCTCTCCATCTTGCTTTCTTTGCCCTGTTGCCACCATCTGCATGAAGACTAATGTCTTTGACCATTCCTGTTTATAATTGAACTTACATGTCTATGGGTAATTCCAGAAATTAGGGGTCCAAAAGTGTGACCTTTTGGTGTCTCTGTTACATCTGACCTTCGTTGTTTGACATGGAAATACCACTGGAGTTGATTTCAAACTACAATGTACTACTGTTCGTTTGGCAAGTAATTTGCATTAATTCATCACTCTTGGAAATCATAAAATGTGTTCTGAACTTACAAAATCATGTCAGATGTGACAGGGACACAAGAAATGGACGCCTAATTTCTGGAAGTACCCATAGATTATTTCTTGTACTATTCACTCTTTCACAAAGATTTTTATAGGATCAAAATGTTGTTTGTTTTCAGCAATTTGGCTCACAACATGGGGTTCTCCTCTTAGCATAGAAAATATTTGATTTCCAAATCTGCTACTTTAGTTTAAGCAGTGTTATCCATGTGTTATCATGTCCAAACACAGGTTGTCACAATCTGCTAACCCTTTGCTGGGGGGGGGGTCATTGTCTTGTGTTAATCCTTTCCACCTTCAAGCTTCATTTCCCCGGTAACCCTTACAGACTGCCCCAGGCATAGGATTAGTAACCTATATCCCACAATGTAAACTATTACTTCTCACTGAGATTGCCCGACTGACCACCAGATCGTTCCAATCACCGGTGGCAAGTGCCCAAACAACGCTTTGCCCCCACAGGGGGGTAATCCCCATGACCAATTTATGTTTGTGAGAAGAGTTGCTTCTTTTGGCAAATACTGAAGTTCTTTTGATAATCTTCTTAAAGCAACAAATTCTGAGAGCTTTGGTAAACTGTTTTGGCCAAGGTGATAAAAGTAGGTTGACTTTATCCATGTGCTGCAAAGTTTGGGTAGAGATTAGTTTAATTTTTTTTCTGTTTTGCTACATTATATAGTTTTTGTTTACTAAAGAGTAGGAACCTATTCCAGGGATTGGGAACAGTCACTGAAATCACATAAATCAAGAATATCTGAGAACTGTTCTGTAGCTTATAACTTGTTAATTGGGTTTTTGTAGGGAAAACAGGAAAAAAATATTGAAACTTTTACATCGCTGATTACAGATGAAAAACTTACAAACATTCACCATCTCAGTGTTCTCGGCAGGACATTTTAGCACAGGGGCCGTCACGCCAACATTTTTGGCCATGATGCTAAAACTCTGGGTGGGACGCTGAAAATCTTGTTGGGACGTTAAAAATCTGGGCGTGGTGCTGAAAATCTGGCCATGACACTACAATTTGTCAGTGTATTGTCAGGGTCATAATCCGTTCTTTCGTGCAACAATCCCATCAAAAACTTCAAAATTTCTTGACATTTCAAGCAGCAGCCAAACGGTAAATTGAGATACAAATTCACAGTTGACACTCGTGTCTCGGATCTTTCGGAGAACTACAATCACTTTCCAATTTCTCTTTTTAAAACTGGCAAAGCAAAACCTTCACATCAGACTGGTGGTGTAAGTATACATATGAAAACTCCTGACGCAACTTTCATTTTTCAAATGGAGAAAGAGGGGGAAATCCGGGAATGCAATTGGAATGAATAACTTCCCAAATTAGATCGAAAGTGTTTGAGGACTGTTTCATCAGAAGAGGCAATTAATTACAATAAAGGGTGAGATTGCTGGAATGAAGAGACATCCATGAAACATCAAGCAGAGCGGGTGGAACAGTGACAATAAAGCACCGGGATTTTTCAGCTTTTCAATAAATATTAACGAGGCATGGGCCCTCTCCCTAGTGGCTGTCGCAGATCTTGAGCTTGGTTTTTTAATAAAAGTTGCTAAATCTGAACAATTAAGCTTTTAAAGCCCAAAATGTTCTATTCAGAAATCAGTAAAACTCCAAAAAATCCTTAAAAAAGAAATCACACTCACATACCACTGTACAAATGAACAGAAAATATATACTTGGAAGAGGCTTTCTGATGGGAAATGGAAAAAAACACAAGAACAGGAAATAAGCGAGACTAAACTCAAAGCATATATAAAGAATTAACAAGTCACAATTGGACTTTCAGGCAGTGCAGATTATGAAAAATCTTGTTGAATTGAGCATGGCTGATAAGGTTTCACTGGCTTGAGTTGAACTCACCCTGGGGTGGAGTGAAGCTCTCAGATGTGTGCGACCTGAGGGAGGAATGCATGCTGGGAAGGCTGTCAATGCTGGACTTGGGTGTGGAGACTGTGGTGTGGCCGGGTGTCCCGAAGAGACGATCGGAGATGACCTGCGATATTGGACAGGTGAAAAAAGAGTACCGGTACTTCATTTTTTTGGGGGGGGGGGTGGAATGAGGAAATTCAACAGCAGGGTGTTGGGGAGGCATGCTACTGGGAGTGAACTAAGGTGGGCATTTTTTATAAGTTGGTACTCGGATTTTTTAAAGACAAATCTTAGAGGATGGGAAAAAAAATTTAAACTATTTTCTACAGTCTAAAGAAAAACAAGTAAGGGTCTTCAAATTGGAGGGAAGAATACAACATTTCCCCCCCCCCCAAAAAAAAGAGAGAAAAAAGAGGTGTTCCTTACCAGTAGCACCAGCCACTGAGACCAAAGTTCAACATTTCCCCCCCCCAAAAAAAAAAAAGAGGTGTTCCTGACCAGTAGCACCAGCCACTGAGACCGAAGTTCACAAAAATGAAATCGGTGACATCGAGTTTGGTCGGAGAGTGGAGAAAAATAAAGTGTTTTACAATTACGTCGGTATATTTAATTTTTATCCAGTTCTGAATCCGGAAGATCTGCAGATTTGAGCACCAACTTTAACAAACAAAAAATCTCTGCTCAATGCTCTTATCATGATCAACATCATGAGTGTAAGCCTTAGAAATGTTCACTTTCTTTCTGCAAAGAAAAACATAATTAATCAGTGGGAAAATAATAATTACCGAAAATGGATCACTTGGGAGACATTCCCATAGGAACGTGCACAAAATTTTTCAAACTTTACCGTCTCATAATTCAATATTCCCTAATCTGATCTTAACCAAATTTTGCATGTTTTCCTTTCAGACCCTAATCTATCATCTCTCAAAGTGTGGACAAAAAAAATTTTCCTCCTTTTGGTAGTTAGAGCATTCGGGAGACATTGAAATGTCTCCCTAATGACCGATGTCTCCCTAATGTTGAAAAATTTACCACAAAATGTCTCCAAGTGACCTATTTGGAAATATACTTCTTAGTCTTGACCACTTTAGAATTTCAGGAAAAGTAAAAAATTACATGACTGATTAAAAAGAAATTTAAAAAAATATCAAAAATTCTTGGCATAAATAAGTACAAATGTCAACGTCAATGAAATAAGGGCCTCACCAAATGATACGTGTTGTAAATGGCTGGTCTAGTGTTCAGCTTCAAATTTAAATCAGTTGACGTCAGTTAAAGGTGCAGATGTGTATATCTGTATGTGAACATGTACATGTATATTGCGTGAGACCATTTCACTTTCAAATCTCGTAATCGCAAAATTACTCAGAGACCCCCGGGTTTAACTTTCTCAAAGGAAAACAATTTCTGTTGGAGGATTCTCTGGGCTACAGTGTGAAATAAAGTTGGCCAAATTTCCAGCTCTAGAGGTACATATACAGGTCTACTTGCGAGGTAGCGATTGACAAAGCGATACGTGTGGGGGGCCCTGAGCAGGATTCCAACCCTGCACAATGGGGTCAGGGCGAGGAGTGGTTAGTTCCAAGTAAGTACATGTAAGTCAGTGCACCGTGATATTCTGACCGTGCTCTTACCTGGCCCACCGCTGTCCCGATGGGTGATGAGGAACGGAAAGGGCCCCTTTCTTGGCCTCTCAATGGAGGCCCTGTCATCCCTCCATCTCTGATTTCCTCTTCTGTCTCTTCCTCAATCTCGTCATCTGCACTCCCGGGGGTCTGTCTTCTGTCACGCCTTGAATCTTCTTCAAAGTCGAGACTCTGCCGAGGAAAGTCATCTTTCGTCTCTTGTCTTCTTTCGGGTATCTTGTGGTCATCCCCTTCTCTGACACTTGTTCTCGGTTTTGTTGGCTGAGATGTTTTGGTGACGGATAAATGCTCAGACATGTTTCTGCTATGAGCAGTTCGCTCCTGGAGATGCTTCTGATGAGCAGCAGTATCATCTCTATTAGGAAGGACCTCTCTGAGAGGAGCAGGGTGCAAGGATGCCTGTGGCCGAGTTACTGACGCGGTCACAGCTCCTGTTGCTGAGAGATCTTGCGCATCTCTTACACGGCTGCTCCTGATGCGCTCGCCGCTCACTAGATCACTCCCACGAGAGTCAATGTTACGATGCGATCTGTCATCTGGCTTCTGATCCTCTGGGCAAGGTATGATGTCACAGGCCATATGCAAATGAGGTACGATGGAACTTGCTGTTGGTCGTACATTGGGACTTGCTATGATTGGTTCTGCAATTCTATCATGACCTGGTTCCCCGGGAACAGTTCGTAAAGGGGTAGGGTGATCTCTGAATTTATCACCAGACTGGTAACTGATAGCCTCTTCTGGCCCAGCAGAGATATCCTGAAGGGCATGAACATGTGAACTTGCAGGCATCACTGGTTCCCTGCACGGACCGTCATCCGATTTCTTCGCAACAATGGTGTTCCTCATTATGCTGTCCCTGACTAGCACATCTTCACCAACAGAGAGCAGCACACCATTGGTCTGGGTTGCCGTGGTTTGAGGCATCGGACTGGTGCCCGTGGTCTTAGTCAGTGGTTCTGATAGCTGGGTCCGCAGGGTGCCTGGTCGGGACTGCGTGAGAAGCTCATGCTGCTTGAGCCGTCTCCTGAAGTCATCGAGGCTGGCACCTCCTGGAGTCGGCTTCTGTACACAGGATGAAACCAGTCATGCAGTCAGCACAGTAAAGATTGTGCGCCATTGATCAAATATGAGACTGGAGGAACTCTAAATAAAGGCTTTCCGCTGTGTTCTCTTAAGTTTCATCTGGGTTGGTTCAAAGTAAATTTACAGGAAGAAATCAGACAATCAAAAAATAAAATACAATGGCTACCCGGATGGGAGTGGATATTTTAAAATACAATGGCTATCCAAATGGGGGTGGACATTTCAAATACAATGGCTACCCGGATGGGGGTGGATATTTTAAAATACAATGGCTACCCAGATGGGAGTGGATATTTTAAAATACAATGGCTACCCAAATGGGGGTGGACATTTCAAATACAATGGCTACCCGGATGGGGGTGGATATTTTAAAATACAATGGCTACCCAGATGGGAGTGGATATTTTAAAATACAATGGCTATCCAAATGGGGGTGTACATTTCAAATACAATGGCTACCCGGATGGGGTGGATATTTTAAAATACAACGGCTACCCGGATGGGGGTGGACATTTCACAATACAATGGCTACCCGGATGGGGGTGGATATTTCAACCTCTGAAGACTTGTGAAACAATGCATTACACTGTTATTTCCAGATGAATAAAGCAAACCATAGAGTTTGCCGGTTCTTTTCAGAACCACACATACTCATCAGAGATATATTCCTCCGCATGGTGCTAGGGCAAGCCTTTCCACCTATTGCTGTCTTTCACCACGAAAAGCCTGATATTCCATCAAACTATACAGTGCGGGGAAAAGTCCTCAGGCAACACGTGACGGTAGATGTATGTGGACTACAGTAATTACCCTTTCCCCTCCCCCCGGGCTTCCCCCAGGTCTTCTGCCAGGGTTTGGTTATGCTTTGTAAACACCAGGATGCATTTTTTGGTCACTTTTAACATTGTTGGCATTAGCACAGTATATGAAAAGGTTGCTCCATGGGTGAGATTTTTAAGTTTTATAAAGTGAATAAATCCAACGTTGGGGGGGGGCTGGTGGGGGGAGGGGTAAACAATTAATAGGCGCCCGATGGGTTAAACTGCTCACCCACGACTGAGGTTACAGAGACAACAATACATGGCTGTTCTCATACTCTTTGATGGTCTCTTTAGGGCTCAGTCAATTCGACTAATTCACTGTTTGAATATTCGACCTTCAATTTGATTGAATATCAGAATATTCGGTTGTACCAACTGGTCGATTGTTGCTGAAGAAACCATATACAAAATCAGTCGCTATAATGAATACAATTGTGCATTATAATCAGTATTATAGCTTCTCACGTCCAGGAGTATCTCCAGCCACCATTTAGCAAGATTTATGAGATGAACAACACTTCTTGCCCTCTTGAAAATTTCTATTAATTCACTTTTTGAATTGTTGTAAGATTTCTGCTGCTTTTCAACTGCTTTTCAATGTGCTTGAAACAAGCCTCCATAGTACCATTTTTGTCATTTAAACCAAAGGAAAATTCTCCCTTTTCATGAATTTTGCATTTGAAAATGTCGAATATTCCAATTAAAAAAGTAATATTCAAATACATCCGGTAATCGATTGAATATTCAGAAATTCGGCACAGCCCTAGATCTCTTGGCTCCTTGAATCTACGCCAAGTCTTTAAAAATGATAGTGACCGACACTGACCCCCAAGTTGGCACCTCTTGATGCATTGGACCACTTTTCCCGACCGGCTGCCTGTCTTCGCGCCTCCTCAAGTCGCCTCCTGACTCTCCACTGATGCAGGATATCGTCCTCTGGGCGCAAACCTGGCGTCTTGCCAAGAGGGTGCCCCGCCTCCGCGGACGGAGGCATGTGAAAGCTCGCCGCTGGCTTTAAGGGTCTCGGCACGTCCCGGACTGTGTAGTCTGGTTCCTGATGACTGGAAGGGGTTGACGAGATTCCGACTCCATCAGAGCTGACGGAAGGTTCGCTTAGTATAGTTGATTCACTGCAAGAGTTTATTCAATCAACGGTTTACAAACTGAACTTTAAGACTGGACTGAATATTGGGAAAGGTCAATGTAGAACAATATTATTGGGAAATACGCCCCGTATCAGAAAAACGTAGACTCTCAGAAGAAGTACCGTAAAAGTAACACGGGACCAAGTTTCAAAATTCTGGTTGTACCCGTTGGTGAAGGGCGTAGTTCTGCTTCAATTGACACCAGTTTTGTATTTCACATTTCATGCTTCAATGAACAGCGGAAGTTTGAATTTTGGAAAGTAAAAGTCTGTTGCGCACGGGTGTGTGAGGGTTAAAAAGAGATCTGTTGGATTGACTTTTACTGGCATACATATGTACGTAAAATGTGAAAAAATGGTTAACCCTTTAATAACCTCCTTCCATCGACACCAAAAAAATCTCATTTCTGTGTGTGTCATAACCAAGCAGAAAGGAGTATTATTGTGTATATTTCTCCATGAATTTGAGTTAAAACACTACGGGTGTGTGGCTACCTTCTTTCTAGGAGCCTGTCTGCTCTGGTCTGCAGATCTTCAGTGTCTGTGTCGACCCTGTCAGAAGGCGACGCAGACGAAGAGCTCATCCTGTTACTCCCTGCCGCCTCCCTCCTGCCAAGGGGTCTCACTACACCTCCCCTCCCTCTTTGTCGATTCCCCACCCCCGGCGCGGCGAGCCGCGGTGGGGTTCGGCCGTCCTCGTCGGAGGGTGTGGAGGTGCGGGAGGGCAGGGCCAGCCACCAGAAGTCGCTGCCGCCTCCTGCCCGCTGCTTCTCCTTCTCGCGTTCCTGACGGCTCCTGGGCTCGCTGTAGCGAAAGCGTTGGATGTACCTGAAAAATGAAGATCGAGAAAATTTGTGGAAAGATGCCACCGGTATACTGAAGCAACGAACGAGCCATTTGCTCCTGAGAGTCAACTGGATTATATCATCTGGGATGCTTTCTACTTCTGATGAGATATCTCAATAAAAGTCAGCAACCAACTCTTATACACTTGGATCTTCATACACAAAACTGAAGCAATTTTAAGGCCTGAGTGGAAGCAATGGCAGACATGTAACACGGAATTCAGAAAAAAAAAATCAGGAAATTTAAAACAACATATGACCTATGTACACTGTGTTTCAATTTGAAATGCTCCACATGAGAAGAATTCAGAAATAAACAATCAGGAAATTCAAAACAACATATGACCTATGTACACTGTGTTTCAATTTGAAATGGTCCACTTGAGAAGAATTCAGAAATAAAAATCAGGAAATTCAAAACAACATATGACCTACGTACACTGTGTTTCAATTTGAAATGGTCCGCTTGAGAAGTGAGAAATGAAGAAATCAGCAGATCCGTGGTAGAGTTCCATATTAACTGAATGGTCTTACCCAAGGGTTTGTTTCATCCAATTTTGTTACGTTCTTGCTCTTAATTTTTGGCCACAGACGTTTTTGTGTGGAATGTGAGGTTGATCGTTTCAATGAAACATCTATGCATAATGTAACTTATAAACTATAATTATAGTAAATGATGTGAATTCCAAGGTTTTTTTTTTAGGATTAGGGGAAAGAAGCAAACAAAGTTCAAAACGGCATGAAGCAAATCACATTATAGTGTGTCTGACAGTTGTGCTTGTGGCTGTGTGTAACGGTGTGCCTACCCAACCACTTTCCATAGATGGGTTACTCTAAGCCATAGCCACTGGATTTGGAGACAGACTATGTCTGTCCAGCTGTGCGTGCTCCTAGATGAAGAGAGGTGATTGCAGTAAAGTATCTTGCTTGGGGACACGAGCGTCAGCTTCCACACACTGCCTTTACATCTCACTAAGATATTTTTGGGGGATAGTTTTGCCCAAGATGTAATGCTCCCCTTTTTGTTTTAGATATTGACATTTCCATTAATCATTACAGAGCAATGTTAGGCTTATCAATGTCAAAGTAAAGTAACATATATCAAGTCTTCTCAATATATTTTATGACGTCTACCAGCACTTGACATGAACCCAAAAAGTACAAATTACATTGTTTTGTTGTCATCGCAATGTACTCACTTGGCAAGAGTTGACCCCTCAGCTGGGCGGTTTTGGTGTGGCTGGTTTTGGTGCTGCTTGTTGTATCTATTTCTCCACTGGGCTAGGTAGTCAGTCCCTGACGCTGAAGAGCTGGATCCAGGCAGTTTCGTCACCATGGTTGCTCCAAGGTCTAGAGAGTACACGTAAAATGTTAAACAGTCCAGGAAACGTTTTGTTTCCACCTGATAATCCTTCCTTGATGAAGTGATCTGGTGATAAACACAAGTACACAAATTTTAAATGGTAAAAATGATAATTGAGTCATTGAACATGACGCACTTTTGCAACGTCAGGAGCAAATCCCCTAGCACTTTACTCAGCATATGGTGTAAAAATGACCGATTTCACAGTGCTACCAAAACAACAAGAACATGAAAACTGACTCAGCTGCAAAACTGTGTAGAGGACGCAGCGACAGACACCCCAATGTTTGACCATGAATTGACTCTTTTAGATTCCGAAATGCAAAGTTACCTGTATTCAGCCATTAACCCTGGGTTTTTTGGACCATCTCACAGCCAGAGGGAAGGGGGGATTCCGCCCCCTAAGAACTTAAATGCCATTAATTATTAGTTACAAATTTATGTGCAGTTTTGATTCAACATGACATACGGTTTCATGTAAATGGTTGTTTGAAGCTAAAGGCCTACCCATGGCGGCCCGTCTATGGAAAAAGTATGGATTTCTGGATGACCTGCCTTGGCAAAGAAACAGTACGGCAAATCTGATTTTTCACGAAATGTGTCAAAATGACCACAAGAAAACTACGTCAAAAACACCATCAGATGGAGTGCGTCCAAGAAAACTTAAACTGCAGCAATGTTGGAGTAAATATTGAGGGGCATTTTCTGCCACGCCCCCCCAGGCTCTTTCAAGGTTAAGAATATGTGAGCGGTGCCTTTGAACAGAACGAGGCCCCATTTCATCCAACTCGCAAGCATAGAGAAATTGGTTGAAGACACAAAAAAGTTACCATGTGACATCTCTGTGAAAATGAGCCAGATGTCGGCCGAGCCACTTGCGGGTTTCAGTTCGAATTGAAAAGATCAAACTGATTTTCCTGTTTTGATGTATCACTGGGTCTGGCATCCTGATGAACATGGACACCATTTGGCCGAAACACGTCGAGGGTTCCTGATGACTCACATTATGCAAAAGTCCTATGTTAGAGGTCATGGACTTTAAAGTGGCCCTGATGAATTCTGCCTCACATTCACACAGCAAGTCACATAGCCATAATGTACAGGTTACCACCAACAAATACTGAAAAATTTCACTTGGGAAGAAGTCCATAGATTTCATTTTGTTGCAGGCAAAGCTCAAAAATCTAATTTGAAGCAATTTTACTGCATGATGGAGGCATCGCCCCCTACAAAATGGGGTCTGGCTCGCAAGTTTTCACTACTGGGCAGGGCGATCACTTTATGAGGTACATGAAGTTGAGTAGATGAGCTTCTCTGATTATTAACCTCCATGTGCTGGTCTTGTTGGATCTGTGGTCATCACTGAGCGAGGGGGTCTGTATTCTCCTGGGCTCTCGATGGTAGACGGCCGCTCGCTGGTCGGCCACGACTCGTCAAATTTGGAGGAGGCGTTTCCGGGGCTGGGGGTGTCGTGAGTGGGCAGCTCCTTGGCTAGCAGGGTGTTGGCCCTTCCAAGGAATTCTCTCTCTGCCGGGCTGGGTTTCTCCAATGGTTTGTCCTTGCCTTGGAGGGCTAGGGACGAGGGCCCGATGACATCATGTTTGAGCAATCTGTCTGGACTTAGGTTTACCTACATGTACATGTACATACAGAGAAATGCAATGAAGTGATAAGTGTTTCAGCAATCTTTGCAAATTATGCCACTCAGTTTCTTGTCCAGAGCCTGAAAAATCCAGAAGCTTCAATATAACTGAAAGCCTGAAATTACATATAGTCCAATATTTAACTCAAGAAAACCAAGCCTGAAACCAGGCTTCTGCCTGAAAACTGGCATCCCTCAACAAAATCTTCCGCTTCACATTTAAAAGTACAACCAGGGATCGATCGAACTCCACTTTTTTCCAGTTCAAAATGCAAGAAAAAAACATTCAATTGAGGCAAGAATATTTTTCTACATCGACAGTTGGAGTGAGATCTCAAATATTAAACCTGAGGGGAAGGGGCTCATCGGGTGAGCCAGGTGGAGTTCTGAAGAAGTTCTGAATCAAAGACTTTCACTTTTATTTACTGAACTCTGAGACGTGGTCTGCTGCAAATCTGTACAGGAAACACGGTAAGAAATCTTGTAAAGAGCTTACAATGCCTGTCAGGCCAGGACCTGTACGACTGATCCAATGACAGAAAATTAAATGTTCTTTTGGTCTAATAGTTGGAACCATCCCATTAAGAATTTGTATACATGTACACACTACGAACATCCAACAAAAGAAACACAGTTCATTAACAACGAGCATCCACTGTTATTGCACCGTGCTTCTTTTGTTAGGTGCTTGCAGTGACATGATCATCTCTTATCTCTAGTAAGAACCTCTACAGCTTCCATGTGCAATCTTTTTCACTGATGAAAAAAATTCTTCCTAAGGAGCCAACAACTGCAGAATTTGAGATACGAGAGCACGACTTACATGTAATAGCCGGAACTGATGACTACATGTATATGTACGGTACATGTATAGGTAACTGTGCCATTCTATAAATTCGGAGACCATTTGTGTTTCGGTTACACCTGACCTATGAAATTTGTCATGGGAAATATCTCTGAAATTGATTTCAAACTAGCTCCATTTGTTTGGCAGGTAATCTGTATAAAGTCATCACTCATGGAAATTAGAGAACGTGTTCTGAACTTACAAAATCATACGTCAGATGTGACTGGGACACGAAAAAAAATTGGACCCCTAATTTATAGAATTACCCAACTGCAAGAGCTAGAAACATTTGCTTCTCATCAGGAATCCTCATATCATTTCTGTTTCGTTGATATTGAATTCATGTGAATATTTCTCACCACTCCACACACTAGGCATACCGGGTGTGGCATGTGATATTGCCACCACCGGAGAAAGTGCTGATTTTGCAGTCTGCACCTTGCTATGTGTAAGTCACTCATCCTAGAGAGCTGTGAGTGAAGGATGTACAGTACCATTATAACGTGAAAATGGACTGGCTACCTTTTTCTCGGCTTCCGTAAGTTGTTTCTGTAGGCTTGGGTGGTAGTGGGCAACCGGCAGGGGTTCATCTTCAAAAGGATTTGAGCTACAGATCAAAACCCATCAAAAATAATAATTTGAAAAATCGACCTACATGTAAATGTGAAAACAGCTTATCGGTAAGAGTTCCAAATACGGACATCACTAATTTTTCCTTGCAGTGGCTAAAGACATGTAAACCACCAGAAAGTGATATAGCATGCCCCAAAAAGCGCACTTGGGGGCATGCCCCTATTAAAGCCCACTTGGGAAAATGCCCCCTTTTAAGAAGACATTCTCTTTTTCAGGGGACTGGTTTTGTCCCAAAATAAAGGGACTTCTCCGAATAGAGACAATCCCCGAGTTGTGATGTGTGCCTCAACTGGTACTAGTGGTAGTGAGGCACTGTGGGCAATGGTGGGAAGGAGAAAAAAGGCAATTATATGCCTCTTTTTCTATCCCGTAATGACTTTCTGAGACCTACCATTGTGCAAAATCACCCATGCCGTGTTTGGGATAAGGCATGTACATGTAACTGTAACTCCATGTATAGGTAGGCCTAGGCTTATCATGCTTATTTTCACGAATGATGCTTAGTCTGAATTAGTCTGACTACGAGCATCTTAGCCTCAGATGCTCATAGTCAGGCAGTCAGACGAATTCCTTCCTCCATGTTAATGTTAAAATGGACAGACCATGGCACAGAGCTAGGCCTACACATCATACACTGTACATGTACATGAATATGATGTAGGCCGAGGCCTATGCATGTCTGGACTACAAATGTACATGTAGCCCCACAAATAGGGCTGTAGTGGCTCTCTTTTACAATCTGTCTCTTATCTATCGCCACTTAGCAAAAATTCGAGAACAATTACCAAGATGTTTGTTTAGGCCTATAGGGCTTATGCCTACTGTCGCATGGTTAGCCGCAAGTTCGCCATGGTTGTGGCACAACCATGGAGGAATAAAACATTGGTCTAGCCATGCTAGCCTAGGCCACAAAACAGGATGACAATACATTGCTAAGAAGCTCTTCAGTTCGAACGCTAGTCACGTTAGTCTTAAGACAGTTTCTTCTTACAATCATGTCTTAGGCCTACTTTAGTCTTGTTACGCCCGAACTATAGCATCAGTCCCAACTAGCGTGCATGATGTGCCCAGCATGTGCCAAAGTCATATTGTTTACAAATGTCATGTCATTGGTCATAGGGCTAGATGAAGAGATGAAGTGCCACATTTTAGATGAATTGTGTCAAGTGTGAGGCCGTGTCCGAAACGGGCTTCCAGAGTTATGTCTAGGTCTATTGTCTACGCGTCTCCACACATTCCCATGGAGAGAAGACCCAGCCCTAGACGAGAGATTCGGATGCAGCCTGAGACACATTGACTTGGATAATGTTTAGACATTTTCCACAGGCATTGCTTAACAATAGTTGGACCAGCCCAACTGCAGCACTACAGCTGGGACTGTCCCAACTTTAGTTGGGGCGTAACAGTCGATAGTCTTACCCGTGTTTGTTTTGGAAGAAAAGCGTGTCCATGTTTCATGATGAGAATAAAAATTATTTCTTTAATTTTCAACTTGTGGGTACCATCAACAAATGACGTACGTCATCAGCCAAGTGAATGTTCGTCCACGTTCAACTAGACATTAACGTACATGTAGTCATGCATGTGTAGGCCTAGGCCTATATTATTATTTTGTACCCGTTTTGGAGATATTTTTGCGATCACCCGTTTTGTGCGCGCCGCCATTTTCAGATTTTCAGAAGTTTGCAATTTGTTTGTTTGTTCATTCACTATTATTATCTGTACTCCTGTTGTATAGCCTCATTCAAAATATTTCTAAACTAAGGGATGTATAGATTTTATTCTTTTGTCAGATCAATAAATTTAATTAATAAATTAAAAATAAATATCAGTTTTCCTAATTCGTACTTATTTATATAAAACTAATCTAACATATTTGACAAAGTTTTAAGAAAGCAAGTTTCATATGCTGAACTAAATGAATCAAATTACGTATGCAAATTAATCTCGCTGGCAACCGGGAAATCAACAACATGGCGGTTTCCTCAGAGTCAGAAAGTAACAGAACTTGAGAAAAACTTTGCCGATAGGCCTATTTTATTTTTACTGTAAGTGAGACACAACCTCACAAGCTGATCGATGAAAGGAGGTAATGGGTTTTTAAGCTGAATTTTCTAGGCCTAACATGTTAATGTTAATACTTCAGAATTTTATTTTAACCTGGAGAATTTACGACGACGGTTATCCACACTGTAGTCACGGAAGTCTGGTACCCTAGCGCCAAACACTAGCACTATATTTCGGCCCACATCTGACCTCAGTGCACTAGTCTGTTGCCTGTTGGTTTTGGAAGATAATTTAAATTAGGGCCTAGGCCTTTTATTTTATTCACATTTCAATTTTACTTATGGTAGGGCCAAAATGATTCAGTAGAGAATCCATCAGCATGATCAGGCGGGTGCATTGAAACATCAAAACAAGATGTTGCATGGCCGTGGGCTCATTGTCAAAAAGGATTGTCAGGTAGGCCAAACCTAAACTGCTCATTAATTTTGAAGACACAACTCTCTTTGTCATTGACATCTGGGAGGTGACCTTTTGTGGTGAAAACAAACAGCTACATTACGACAAGTCAACCGGGACCCCTTTCCTGTATTAGAAGAAATAGGCCTTGGCCTATATTATCATGACAGGCCCTAAAAATATAGGCCCTACATCATGTATAATGTACATGTAGGCCTATTATTCTAGCCTAGGTCTAGGCCTACATCATCAGTACATGGTAAACCTTTTTCATGTTTTGTATGCGCATGCTCAGAAGATTTTAACAGACATGATAGAAGGGAGCAAATTCATGACAAGAACATTGCGGAACGTTTGGCGAATTGTGCTCACAATTGTAATTGTAGACAATGTGTTCCCCTCTAGCTTTGTTTACTTCATCGCATGGGGTGGAACGGGAAATTGGCTTATGGTTCCCAACTGTCAACAGACAGTGATTAGTACATGTACGTTCTGTCTGAATTTTGAACTGTAGCTACATCCTCAGCTTAGTCGGTGATTCAATCATTGTAAAGATTTGTAAAGTTTTCTATAGGTCCAGAGCCTGTGTGTATAAATGGTGATGTTGTGATTAAAATGAAAAAGAAAGAAAAAAATCACAGGTAGTGGATATTAGACTCTCCTCCTTGTTTTTGCTGTATTTTACCAGTACAGCACTGAGCCTGCTGGAACTGAGAAATTTGTTTGTTTTTTCATGTTTTTTCATGCGACAAGTTTTAGCATTGTTGTTACAGACGCATCCTGATGACATTTGACTCATTTTCTTAACATGATTAATACTATTGTGAATTGTAATTTGTAAATCGTGAATCAAATTATGTTGTCTTCTGTGTTTGCATGTGTTAGCTGCTCTCCCTAAAATCCAGTTGTAGAATTTTTGAAATCTGCATTGTAGTCAACAATTTTATTTACGTGTATTGAAACAAGGCATGTATACAGATAATTTGAAATGTAAATTTTAGTCAAAATCCTGACGCTTTGACACAGTTTGGCATCTCCAAAATCCCTGCTTAAAATCAGTTTTTCTTTTTGGTAGATTAAGAATCCTGTACATGTTTATCAAAAATGTTTCCTGTCACTTAAATGTAATGCTTGCCAATATCACATCCAAGCAAAGATAAAAAATGATTTTGAAAACGTACATGTATAAATAAAGCCGCCGTATAATTGTGACTTCATAGTCACAAGATGAGATTCAGAGTAAGTGCAATTGTGGACTTTCCATCCCTCAAACAAACGAAAATTTCTCCAGAGCTTTATTTCCTGCTGTGAGATGTAAAACGTAGAAAACGTTTTGCAACACGATAAATGAATGTAGTAGCCCTGCCCATTTTTCCCAACCCACAGTACCTTTGTTCTATATACATGTAAAAGAAAAAGGTGTAAACTGTTAACAACTTTTGCTGTTTCTATTTTTAAAATTGTCTTTGCAGAAATGCCCAGCTTAAATCTGGCTCAATAACCTGTAAATTGGTAAACCAATTCCTGCAAAAAGAATCATGGAAGTAGACGAGAGATTACGATTCTTGGAGACACGCATCACCTCCAGCCTGAGGCCTCGTAATGACGACCTCAAAGCGCTCTTTTCCAGCGATGAGAACCGGTAAGATTTTTTCTGTGTTGGCCCGAAGTTCAAAAATCCTTCCCTGAGCCAGTTTACACCAGATGAGGCGTACACATGCACAGTTTCCTGTCCCAGTTACATGTAAATGTATATGGTCTTCATTGAACATGTTGAATGGTAGTCTCTGTATGAGTAGTGGATGATATATGCGAGCCCCGAGGTAGACCAAGAGAGGGTGCAATTTTCCTAGCAATGGAGGCCCCCTGTGGTCGGAACTGCACTTCACTGGTTTACAAATGACTATGAAATGCATACATTACAGTTGTGTCGCTACCAGCAAAATGATCATTCCCCACCAACATGGCTCTTTTCAACCAATGAGGGGGTGCTTCTGCTCAAGGTGGATATGTACTTCTTCTTAAGCTTGATTGATTCCCTCTGTGTTTGTATATGCAAGAGGCATTGAGCTCCTCCATGGAAGGTCAAGTGTGTGGCGCCCTCTGTGTTTCAAGGCCCGGTGTTGTGGCAAATATCATTCCAGGGCATTATTGGAATTTTTGAAATAGTGACAGTGCGATGGGAAACATTGCACAGATCTTGAGTAAATGACCACCAAAGAGCGCCATACATGTACATGCCATATGTGAAGTTAAGCTTTGTAAAGGACTGTACTTATGGTATTTGGTCACTTCAAAAAGTAGTTTTGAAATGACCATGCAGACGAAATACAGGCATGCAACTTTTCAGCTGATCTCCTCGGTTTTCACTTCACACTCATGCCATTGAAAATTGAAAAACACTGACCAAATCTTGTGAAGATTCGAATTTCCTTGTGTTTTTTGTCAAAGTCCCAGTTGCACACCTGAAAATAACACCGTCTGGGATGAGTTTATTGTGGAATATCACCGTCGGTACAGTATCTTTCTAATAGTTGACATGGTTGATCCATTAATTAAACATTTTTCAATGTACAATGTACATTCGTCCTTTTGGAACAAACTGCAACTAGAGTTTATGGCTGTGCTACTGAAAAGTCAGGTAGTGCCGGGGGGGGGGTTTGGCCTGTAATGTTCCTGTTGGTAGCCTGGAACCTTACAGTAGAGGTGTTACCTACATGTACATGTGTACATGTATCAAGGTCAGACCCACAGAGGGCCCAACCAGGCGTGCGTTCAATAGTACAATGTATACGTACAGGTATTGCTTTAATGCTTGTGAGATCTTTGTTGTCAATGGTACACATCTCTATGCGTACATGTACACGTACATGTAGTGTTGTGTTATTGAAGCCACCCTGATTTAAGTCCCACTCACCTCAGATGAGTCCGTAGCTACTTGCACTCTGTCATTCAAGTTATTAGGAACAGTGGCCTCAGACAGAGCAGAGGCTGGCAGTGGAGGAACCACTGAAGAAAACAAGGGATTAAAATAGCCCAAAGGCTTCCGCTTTTACCCAAGCGTGGCACACATGTTTTTAAATGGTGAATCCTGGCCACTTCTTGATTCTCTTGCTCCACAGCCACTCCTTCCTGGAGTTCTGCAACAACGAGGACGTCCGTCGTCTCTTCGTCTTCACCCGAGAGCCCAAGAACACCCTGGTGGCCTCCCTGGCTCCGCCCCTCGGCCTGCGCACCAAGGCCGTTTTCTTCCTCAAGACCAACCAAGCCTCCAAGCTGACCAAAGACAACGTCAAGACGGACGTGGTGTACACGGACTGCGACACCACGGCCTTGGCACAGCTGGACCTGCTGGCAAAGGAGGTAGGCAATTCTGCCAAATTGTGACCTGCTCCGTGAAAATGAGTCATGAGGTCACCTTTTTTTCAGACTTTTTTGTTTCACTTTGCATTAGAAAGAGCAAGCAAGCTCAGTTCTTTTTTCTTGCGATGGATGACCCATTCTGGCATCCTGATGAAAAGGGACTAATATGTTTTGGAAAACTGTTGATGATTCCCATGGATTTTTGTGCTGCAAGATTCCTTGAAAGGCCCGTTTCTCAAAAGTGGCACTGGCGACTTGTGACTCATTTTCACAAAGCAGGTTGGAATTAATTAGTCGCTGTTCTGACTTCAAGGAGTCAAGCCTTAGTCTGGTCGACTGTTTTAAATGCACTTTAATCAAGGTAACGCCCAGTGGGGTTCATCAAGGGACCTACATTGTACCTGTGCGACGACATCAAGGGGCTTGCTGTGAAGATAGCTCTGACGTCTCACATGTAAGAATGTTCGATTCCGTCCCCAGACACAGAAACAAAAGATGGATATTAACCCTAACCCTCCTCAATCCTTCACCTGTTGGAGGACTGAGGAGTGTTAGGGTTAAAGTACGGTTTCACCAATCTCAGCTTCCCGTCACACACACAATAAAGTAACACTTTCATTTCTCCTTCAGGTCTACCTGCCCCTCCTGTGCACGGACGGCTTGATGACTTACGGTGGGGTCAGCGCAGACAAGCTCATGGACATCCTGCACAGGATGATGGGAAATGTGGAGGTCACCGAAGGTCACGTCGAGGTAACGACCCAAAACATGAAGAAGACATAAGGATTGACCTTAATGTGAACAAGTGTGTTAAACTAGCCTGTTCACCTCTTCATTCTAAATTG